AGCTGCCTCGACTAAGACCACTTTTCCCGTGGCCAGTACACGGAGATCATCCTTCGCTGGTGCTGCCGACGGAATTCGAACGAAGAACACCAGAACGACACGAGTGAGTAGACAAATCTTCATTCTGTTGAGACTAGGCAAGACCCCAGTTAGTAAAGTAGCTCTAACTGAAACAGAGTAGTACAGTATCCGCAGGAGACTGTGGCAGTCGATGACTATTGTTAAGATAAGGTGCCTTCTTAACTGGATGACTGTAGTGAAATGTTTTTAAGCCAGGTCAAAAGCACGTGGTTGGAATAAAGTAATTTTCTGACTGAATGAAGTAAGGGTCGACCAAGCAGATAGGGAAACCTAGGGACGACTGACAGACCTTGTTTTGGACTTTTTTTTTTTGCTGTTACTAACCCGCCATAGTGTCTGTGAACGGAAATCTAAAAGCTGATCACAGCGGTGAATTAACACCTAGTTGGTACCCGCGTGGAAGTATTTTCACGTAGAAGCTTGGTCCAACGCTGTGATTGGTGCGCACGCATTTTTCCGTATCATACTCACGCCGGCACATAGTCGAAACTAACATGGACGAAAAAGTAGTACTCAAAAAACAGAAGGAGTTGGTTAAACACATGGAAAAAGAGTTTCCAGGTAGCACGAAATACCTAGAAAAATGGCAGAAAAGATATGGGTTTAAACCCACACTTGAGAAAGAGCAACTTGATGAACTGATAAATCAGCTATTGATACACAACAAGCAGAAAAAAAAAGAAGCAGGGAGAAAGGCGCCGCAGCCCAGCACCCTCCCTCTACTGCGCCTTGATTAGTCCCAGACTAAGGATTGGAAGAGAGTAAGAGAACAGAAACAGAGGCAATAGTTCGAGTTAAAAAACAACAACTGACCCCTCCATAGGCTGGAGGCTAGTGAAAGATCTAAGAGCAGATCCGAAGTAAAATACTTAAGGACATAACTTAACCACTCAAGGGAGAATTGCTAGCCCTGATAGGAAGTTAACAATAAAAAAATCCAAACCTATCACTAATAAATTATGGCTTTTCTAGGATTGTGTAATGGCTACAGGGCTTGATTACTGGATTATGCCCTCCTAGCAAAGCCCCTTCAAGACTTGATTTTTCCTAAACCTAGGGAAATGAATCACAAAGTAACTTGAACAGATGAGGCAAATTTGGCATTCAAAAAAATAAAATAAAAGTGAACTAATGAAGTCAACTGCATTGGCATTACAAGATTACACTAAACTTGAGTGATACTGTGTCTTTTTCAAAATTTGGTACAGAACAAAATACTAAGCCAGCGCAGCGAGTGATAAAAGACAATACTAACATCGTTATATCACCTAAAAACAAAGCTAACAAACAGATTTTTACCACTGTTACAGACTGATGTTAACGTACAAACGGGTAATGTACTGTCATCACAAAATAAAAACAATAAAGTTGGCAAAAGAGTGTCTGCAGACGGGGAATCTGTGCCAAACGTCAAGGTTAGAGATACGTCGCTGCTAGGAGACGGGGCATCAGTGGTGTGAGTCACAGAAGAATCCTAACATGCTGCTACCCCACATACACTGTTTACTCCTGCCAAAAGTTTCTGTCAACACACCAAGGGGTCAGCAGTGGACCTCTACCCAACATAGGCCTAAGGTAGAGGGACAAATTTACCCGATTGCTTCAGCTGAAAAATGAATATTGCATGTTAAAAATATCTGGAAGAGAAATTTTGACTATGCTTTATGTAATTCCGAATCATATGTTAATTCCGAGGCCAGGCTAAGGGTGTTAAAATAGGAAACATAAAAAGTTCATTAAAGGAGCACAGGTTATAATAACAACCAGAAGTCAAAAATGTTGATTATTATAAATGTATTAAAAGTAAAATGAGAGACAAAGGTAAATTATGAGATTATAAAAGCACAAAAGTAAAGTCCCAAATAAATAAATAAATAAATAAAGTAGAGTCTATGAACAAGAGTAGTTAATTTTCAGTTGTT